CTATTATTGATTTACTTGTTTATTATCTCTCTCCCCAACTAGAATATTTATCTCCATAAGAACAGGGGTCTCACCTTGGTTACTGCTCTCTTCTTGATCCTCAGATAGTGTTGGGCACAGAATTCGTATTTTTTAAATTAATTAGTTGCTATAAATTCATCCATATTATGTTTTAATATCTGGTAGAGCTCTGTCCATTTGATTACTCTTTCCTGTCACTTTACTTTTATAAACTTGTTACAATGACTGAAACTCCTTCTATTGAATTGGACATAAGTTCTGCTCCACACAGATATAGGATTCAACATAATGTTATTATTCTAATTCTTAAATTAAATTTTGTTAATAGGAAATTTAGAAAATATAGCATAGTATAGGAAAGGAAACAAGAAATCGGCCATACTGCCACAACTCAGAGATGGCATGATTAATATATGATTCCTTCTAGAATTTTTCCAAATACATGTATACATGCATGTATTTACATGTATACATATATACAATGTATGTGTACATGTGTGTATTTACACATGTGTGTGCATAATGCACATGTGTGTATATTTACATGTATGCATATATACATGCACACATGCACAAACACACAAAATTAAGGGTTCTATACCCAATTTTACCATGTGTGCATTGAGGGGGGTTCCCTACACCAGCAAGCAGTGCCAGAACACCAGCTAGGAGTCCCACCATTCAGCTCATTTCTAACTTAAGAACATGTAGGATGATGAAAGAGAACTCCTTTAGAAGGTAGAAGGTGGAGCGAAGGACCGCAGAATACAATTCAGTGAGGGGCAGCCTACTGCGGGTCAAAATTGGGGCCTAATCAAGGAGCATCGCCACCCTAATATAGAGACCCTTGCAATGTCTGCCTGGTAGGATTCCAGAACTGCCACAGGCTACTGATTGCTCTCTGAAACCCATTCTTCTCCTTTTTGAATGAGAGTTTATGGTGATTATCCTGTTGTTACTCTAACATTAATATTAGGTATGGAGGGGGTGGGGGAACACAGGCAATTGTTTATTTAGTTTATGTATCTCCATACCAAGACAAGCGACATCCAGGCCTAACCACTGTGAGATCATGAACTTTGAACTTGACACTGTGATAAGATAGAACTTTCCAGGTTATTTCCCCAGAAAAGAGTTTGCATATATTTTGCATGTGGGAAGAAAGGTAAATCTAATTCTAATGATCAGAAGGACTGACAGTGGTAGTCACTGGCCCTAACTGCTCATGCTTCAGCCTTTGGGGTACTTTCTGGGCCCCTATGAGTGGTAGTTGGGGACAGGGGGCAGAGCGTGTGACCAGTTTTAGCAAGTGAGTTGTGAACATAAGAGAACATTTAAACATGTACTTGCCATCGTGAGTTCCTCCCATGTGCTTTTTTGCAGTAAATAGGGTGGAAACCCTCACCCTCGGTTCCTAAGTAATGATGGGGAACGAATTCCCTGCAACCCGTAATAGACAGGTAACATCAATAAGAAATAACCTTTTTGTTGTAAGCCACTATGATTTTGCGGGGTTGCATGTTATTGCAGAATGTTTTGTTCAGAGTAGCCTATCCCGAACAAAATACTTCTTTATTGCCTGCCTCTTGCATCAGAAATTAGGCTTAATGAGGACCAGAATCTTGCCCATCTTGCTGTAGACTATATGCCAGATATTTATCACTACACTGGCTCCTAGTAGGCGCTCAATAAATATTTCTTGAATCAGTGGAAGGGTGAATTCTCTTAGCGTAATTAAGGGTTTTGTTCTAGTAATAGCTCTCCCCTGACAAAAATTTCTCTTATCAGTCCAGGTTGGCTCAGGTTAGCTGCAGTAATAAACACCAAAATCTCAGTGGCTTGAAACTACAAAAGCTTAATTATTATTTTACTACACATCCATTATGGGATGGCAGGGGCACTCTGCTCATTCTCGTCCGTCAGGAACCCAGACTGACCATAGCCACTGCCATTAAAGGTGCTGGTTGCTGTAGCCGGGGGAGATTAAAGAGCTCTGTGGGGTATTGCATTGACTCATAGCTAATGTTACTCGTATTACTTCTGCTTATAACTAATAACCCCAAATTAGTTGCATGGCATTACTCAACCACAAAGAAGCCAGGAAGAGCAAGTCAATCTCGCGCCCAGAATGGCAGACAAAAGGAAATATTTCTGGAACACCATGAATACCTAACAAAATAGTGGAACAAAAAACAAAAAATAATGGAAACTTTTGTGATAAGTGAGGTGAAGGGGGAAATAAAACTGTGCTATATGGCAGAAGTCATTGAGGAACCTACTTAAAGTAGGTGAGTAACATTTGCATCAAAACCTCAAAGGTCAGAAGGAGTGAGCAAGAATTAAAAGAACATTCAGACAAGAAACAATACACATAATGGCCCTAGAGTGGAACAAGCTTGGTTTTTCCTAATTCTGGCAGAAGATGAGATCTACGGGAACTAAAGAAGCAACATAAGTGGGAGGGGCTGGTCACGACAAAGAGAGACTATGAAGGTCAGATCACAGAGGGCGTGGAGAGCCATGACAGATAATCAGGACGTGTCCTAAATGCACTGGGAAGCCATTGAAAGGTCTTAGGACGAAAAACATATGTTTGATTTATGTTTTAAAAAACTAATTGTGGTTATGGAGAAATACTTGGAAAAGGGGAAGAGTGAGAACGGGAAGACCCGCTAGGAGGCTATGACAGCATTCCAGACAAATGATAAGGCCAGGAAGGGGTATGTGCGTTGGGGGAGGAGGTAGCCAGTAGTGAAAATAGCAAGAAGTGAACAATATATTTTGAAGGACTTACTGGTGGATTGAATAAGAGGGAATGGTAGGAGTTACTTAATTTATGACTCCCATTGTCAAAGATAAAGAAAGCCAGACACTATGTATTAGTAATAACTACTAAGGTAGGGAAAAGAGTCCACTGTGAACAGAACTCAGCTTTGATTGGTACAATAGAAGGAAAAAATGAGGAAATAGGATGGACAGCGTCTCAGTAAAATCAGGGAAATGAAAAATTTTAAGTGTTTAGGCAGTGTAAATGTGAGTAGGCCAGCTGTGCCTGCTAGCTGGCAATTATTGAAGTTAGGATTCTACCCCCCTACAGAAACTAGGAGATAGAGACCCTATCCTCAGGGGTTGGCTGAAACAAATGGTAAAAATAAAATAAAATAAAATAAAATAAAATAAAATAAAATAAAAAAGGCAGCTTTGAGTTTTCTCAAACAGGAACTTTAAGGGGAGACGGGGGCCATCTTAGATATGTGGTCTTGAGCTTCTGGGAACTGTGCTAGTGTTTGTTCAAGTCTTTATAGAACAAGATTGAGGCCCAGCTGAGAAGAGGACTCAGAGGAGGCTGGCTAGAGTTTGGTCAAGGAGAGAATCTTTTTCTGTTTCTGGTTTTAGTGAGACGGTGATTGGTGGTGTCATTCACAGAGACAAGACAAGCTGAGGGGCGACAAGGTTTAGAATCTAGAGGAGACTTAATCCTGTTTTGGATATGGTAAATTTAAGACCTTCAGATGGGTAAGAAGTTAACATAAGAATGGATCAGAGGAGTCAAGGTGGGAGCTATAAATCAAGAGCTGTCAGCGTGATTTAACTCAAAGGTCACACAGGTGAGAGTGGGAGTTAGCAAGAGAAGGAGACTCCCAGATTTGCCTAACAAATTCCTCCTTGAGATCTGTTTCCAGAAGTGTATCAGGTATATGGTTGTATTTCTAATGGTCACAGAGTAAAATGAACAGAATAGCAATGTTGCTATTAAATGTTTGGAGGTTTTTCTTTTGATTTCAAATCTCTATTTGCTATGTCTAAATGATAGCCCCTAAATTATATTTATTGAACACTATTGTTATCCCCATTTTATATGGAAAACTGAACATCCTTATGAGTCTTGTGAAATGTCATTTTGCCCAAGGTGACAGAAAATTAGTAAGGGTTGGGTCCTCTATTCAAAACTAAGCAATCTGGTTCCAGAGTCTGTGTTCTGAACTGTTACACTATATGGCAATAAGCATAGGAAAGTAGCTTGGTTTATTTATTTAATGGGTCATAAATAATAGACTTTATATATGTAATAGTTCCAATAAGAGTTTTTATTGGATCTCTATTCTCATGTATGCCTGTCTGGACTACTAGGGTTGAAACACTATTCACCTGATGGCTGTGCCTCAAGATACCAGAGACAAATTCTAGGTAAATAAACTGGCTTTGCTAGACCAGTCCTGAAGCTTTCAACCCTTAAAAACAAATGAACACGAAATTTTTAAAAATGCAATTGTATAGGACAGTGAGGTTTGCCGTGCCCTGTGGTGTCAAACTGAAGTCCTAGTTCTGGACATCATCTGCTGTTTGGGAAATAATAAAATTTCTCACTATTACACATTAAAGCTCTTCCCTCCACAGAAATATACATAGTCTTGACACTAAATTCACATTGTTGGCCGAAGTATGAGAGTTCCTTCAGCGCAGGAATTATTCTATTTCATCTTTGTTTTTTAAACCATATCCTAGCGGGCTTGGAGCGCAAGGGGTGCCTGACAGCCCAGGAAAGAGAGGGAAGGAGCGGGGAGGGCGGTGATAAAAGAAAGAGAAGAAGGAATTCAGATCAAACAGTTCTACTGCACACTTTTAGGTGAACACTATGTCCTTCAAGCACATCCGAGTTTTTTGCTTTTGTTGTTAAGTTTTCCCCATTTATGGTGTGCCAGAAACGTCGTGATCCCATCTGAAATACTGTTAACTTTCCCTCCCTTGCTGTCGGCGTTTCCTGTGCTCTGACCCCCTTCCTTGGCCTCGGGCCCCGCCCACTCCCCCAGCACCCCAGCCTTGGCTTAGGCCTAGCCACTGCGCCTGCGCACAGAGGTAACCCTCCACCTCCCCCCCTTCCGCCCCGCCCTCCCCGCCAACCAAGGGCCCTCGGGGCGGGGTCGCAAGCTCTGGGAGGAAGAGGAAGAGGAAGTTGGAGGAGGGTCCTAGATGGGAGTGAACCGGAAGTGTAAGCACTCCAGCTTCTTTTAGGCCAGGCGGAACCTGCTCGGTTGGGCCCGGTGGCTGCAAAAGAACTTTCTCCCGCCCCAACGGTCCCCGCGGCCAACTGCCTCGCCCGCCTGGCAGCCTCCCCCGCCTTCTCTTCTTCTTCCCTCTGGCACCGCGCGGCCCTGTCTCCTTCTCGCCCGGCAGTATCCGCTTGCTCCTGCCACCACCTCCTCGTCTCCTGCCCGGCCAGGCGGCCCGCCCCGCTGCAGTGATGTGCGACAAGGAGTTCATGTGGGCCCTGAAAAACGGGGACTTGGATGAGGTGAAGGACTATGTGGCCAAGGTAAGCGGTGGCGCGTGGAGTAGGCGAGCAGGGAGGTGGGATGGAGAGGAGGCTGAGGAAGCTATGGGAGCTGGGCCGGCGCGGGTGGGGGTGGGGGAGGAAAGACATGCTGGATGGAGGTGGCACTGGAGAAGGGGAGTCAGGGAGAATCTGAACTGGAAGGAGGGCCGCGATAACGCGGTCCTGTGCCAGGTAACTGTCGTGTTGCTACAGCCAGGTTCTTCGTGCTCTCCTGACCCCTTGGGGAAGAGGAGGAGTGGTAACCGGCTCTTTTAGCCTTACTTGACTACTGATCATTTGCGTTTGGCCCTCTTCTAAGCCAAAGTTACTTAAATCTTTCTTTGAATTAAGTAATTCTCCGTCTTGAACCTGCCTGTTACTTAATGAAGTAACCTAAGTGATTCGAATTAGAACTTTTTGTTCAACTGTGGGCCCCTTAATGAATTTAACGTATTCATTGACCGTGAAAAAAAGAGTACCCAAAATAGCAATGGTTAAAATTAAGAAACTTGGTAACACTTCACTGCCGGGTTTTAACTTTGGGTGTGGCCTTTTTCCTCTCTCCCTCTACCACAAATACTTGCTTTAAGTGGGGGAGCTTATCAGTTAGCATCTTAGTGTTTAAGATACCTGAGTAACTTACAAAGAAGCATGTTAACTTTAGCTACTCCCATCTTTGTCCTTGATTCCCTCTGAAATGCTTGCACATGTCATAAATAGTAATGCAAGTTTAGTCACAGTATATTTGAGGGTGAAGTGATGAAGACAGCCTGTTTCAAAACTAAACTCACAATATAAAACTGAATCCACATTGTAGTAGATTGGTAAAAACCCAAGCTGGTCTGCCTTTGGACCCTAAATTTGTTGCCTTTGTCATTATGAGAGAACTTAGGTGTGATTTTGATATGATGATGATCTAAAGCGAAATCTTCTAAAATGAAAGCATCGTTTTATAACATAACATGGAGGGTATCTTGCTCACCTAAGAGAGTGAGAACCCAGTCTAGGTTTTAGTCCTTCAAAGGGTATGACCATTAATGTGCTCCTGTGTTTTTGCTTCAGAGATCTGTGTTGGGAAGCACGGAAGAAGCAACAGAGTTTCTTAAAACTTGTAGGATTGTGCAAGGCAAACTACTTGATAGTTTTTACTCTCTTTAATACCATTACAATCTAGCCTTTTTGCATGCCCATTATATGTTTAGTTGTTAATTTCAGTGGCTCTTTAGGACACTGTTCCCTGCCTTCTCAGCTAATGGCAGTCTGAAACCTGACTTATTGGATGTTTCAGTGCAAGATTATAGGAAAGAGCTTACTTGGAACATTTGAGTCCATGTTATACTTTCCAGTGGTGGGACACTGCGGTACCCTGGAAGTGAGTGTCTTGTTTTTTTCTGTTATTGCGAAACCTTGAAATACAAAAAGTTGGTAAGTACTAAGCTTACAGTTACAAAAAGTAACACAATTTATGTAGTGTCTTCCTGGCACATTATTTTTTATTGTCCTTCTGAGCCTTGTGAGGTAAGTCCTTTTATTTGTCCCATTTTACAGATAAGATTACTGAAATGTAGGGTACTTAAGAAAAAAAAACCCCAAAGTTACAGAGATATATTAAAAAAAAAAAAAAAAAGAAGAAGCCAGAGCTAAACTGCTGACTCCAGAACTTAGACTCTTTAACTGCTCCTTGCAGTCTCTCACAATCTCAAATGTAGTTGCAAAGCATGTGATACCAAGATTTCTAGGAGGACATTACCAAGGTCCACAACCAGGCAGATAAATTATACATAAAGAGTTGCCTTTCACACAAGACCTGAATGAAAAAATACGTGTCAAGAACAATGTATTAATTTGTTTTCAGGTTTTTTAATTAGGTCACTATGTTCAGATTGATTTTGGCTTTTTCCTATTACTACCATACTGCCTACCCTCATTACCAACAAAGATGTGCACAAAAGGGAGCATAGACATTTGAAGAAAAGTAAAGGGAAGTACTAAGAACTTTTGATCCAAAAAAGGTTGGACTTGTAATGTAATCCTATGAACAGATCATTGAGCTTTTTCCTTTCTTAGTTTTTCTTTTTGTCCTCAATTGGGGACATTTTTTTTTCATTGCTTTCAGAGAGAGAGGAAAGGGGGAGGAGAGCAAGAAAGAAACATTGACGTGAGAAACATTGATTTGATTAGCTGCTTCCTGCGTACTCCCTGACCAGGGACCAAACCTGCAACCTAGACGTGTATCCTGACGGGGAATCCAACCTGTGACCTTCTGGTCTACAGAACAGCATTCCAACCAACTGAGCCATACTGGCCAGGGCTCCTTTTTTAGTTTTTATTGAGTAACTTGAGACTCCTAAAATATTTTTTGCTTTGTTTTTGAAAAATAACAAAAAACAAAACAACCAGAAACTAGCACTCCAGTTTCTACTGACTGAGCTCCTTTACTGTGCCTGTTCCCTCTCAAGCCCGTGTCACATTTTCTTCTGCTCAGCAGCCACCTACCCTGTTACTCTTTGCCTCACCTTTTTCACTCGCCAATTTATGAACACTCATTACCATTTTCTGAGTTTATGTAATGTGCGTTTATCTGAGTATGTGCAAAGAAAGTGTATTTTAAAAATTGGACTTACCTAGTTTTCTTCCTAAGGGCTTAGAGTTTTTAAAATACTCTCCTCTGTTCTCCTGTGAAGATCTCTTATCGCTAAGTGAAGTATTTTAGTAGTCTTCCTTTTTAAAATTAATATTTTAAAAAAATCAACAATTGTACTTTTGTGCCTGCTTCCAACTTGTATAACAGAAATCCAAAGTATGGATAGGCATAAGTTGTAGGTTTTGGATGACTGTCTGAACTCTGAAAAAAAATCAGTCCAGAATTCCCAAACCATTGAAAATTGTATGGTTGTAAGTGGCCAGTGGGGGGGGCGGGGTGCGGGTAGAAAACAGCATGTAAAGAAAAAATCAGATTACTCCCCACTAAATGCTCATCTGTAACATTAAAACAATATCTGAAACATTCTGGCTTCTTGACTAATCTGAAAACATGTTTAGTTAATTAGTTAATTTATTGGGTACCTCTCAGGTCCCTGGTACTTTGCTAGGCCTGGCATGATGGTGAAGAACTTGGGTAAAATGCTTGGGGAACTTAAGCATCTGTGTTAAGCAGGCCTATGTGCAAAAGCCTTCATACTTTTACAGTACTATGCAAACTATAAGTAACGTCTCACACAAAATTCAGTTTGTCCAATTGGAAAAGAAATGAAATCCAGAAAGTAAGATATTCATGAGTAGTGATAGATTTTCATATCCTCATTTTCAGTCGTTATACTTTTTCTAGGTGACATTATTTTTGCCTTCATCTTCCATTTCAGCCTTTATGTTAACTTCTCCCTTTGGAGTTCATTCAGCCCTCAGCTGAGTTCCAGAATGAATAGCTCTGTTCAGATAAATTCCACATTGAGCACCCATTTTCTTTTCAAAAATTGTTTCTGTTGTATCCATTTTGACTAATGACATCATGACCCGACAATTTGCCCAAACTAGAAATTGAGGAGTTTTCCCAAATTTCTTGAGTGTTACTGAGATTCCCTTCTTCATCTCTCATTTACTCCTCTCTCTCCATTCTTTTGCTACGACTTTAGACTAGTTGTTGCCTCTTTGCTGCCTGGACTGTGTTTTCCTTGACTCTAGTTTTTCCCTCTCTCCTGGTCAACTTGCACATCTTAGCTGGAAGGAGCTCTGTAATGGGAATGTGAGCACGTTACCCTTTTCAGCCAGCCTCCTTCACTTTCTTCAAATGCTTTTGTGATTCCCCATTATTTTTAAGTGGCCCGCTGCTCCTTGATTTGGCATATACTTGGAAGTTCTGACCTGGCCTTGCCTGCCTTTCTAAGCTCACCTCTCTACAAGGAGCGCTCTGCTCCGGACCCAGCCATGCACTGTTTCTTATTACGTCTTTCCTGTGCAGTCACCCTCCTGGACGAAGCCTGCTCGCCTCAGTCCCTAACTCCCTAGCTGGTGAGCTCCTGTTTATCCTCTTAGCGGAAATACCCCCTCTTCCAGAAAAACGTTTTGACTTCAGCTGGTGTGCTGCTGCTGCTGTTAGTGTTTGCACTTATCAGATTGCTGTGCTTTTGTTTACATGTCTGTTTTTAATTAGGCTCTGAGCCTCTGGAGGCTAGATGCTATATTCTTTTTCATCTTTGTATCTCCAGTATAGTGCCAAGGAATTTCACACATTAAAAGCATATGTTCCATGTAGGGAATTTTTTTATTCGTAACTCAGCTACAGAGACAACATACTTCATGAGTTATAGAATGATAATTACCATTGACGGGATGGCTTGTATTGCCCGGTGCTGTGGAGCACTCTGCAAGGTTTTTGCCTAAATTTTCATTTGCTTTTTACCACAGTATTTCCATATAGGTAATAGTATTCCCATTTTAAGGATGAGGAATAAGTTCTTAGAGAAATTAGGTAATGTAACAAAGTCACTAAGTAAGTAGCACACTGGGATTTAAACCCAGGACTGCCTGAATTTACAGCCCATATATTTTTCACCATGTCAGTCTTCCTTGCAATGGTTTTCTGGTTTTTTAGCTCACAGTAGATTAGAATCAGCACATTAGGAAAATGAGAAAAGGGTTTGCAAGAGACAGGCACAAACTGTCTCTATGAATAAAAAATAGAAAGATGGCTACAATTAAACATTTTTAATGTAACAATTTGAAAATAATTAGCATAGAGACAGCAGCTCTCTACAGTTTAAGAGACTCATCAGAGGCTATCTTTACTCAAGAGACTATTTAAGAGCTTGTGGAAACTTTTTTGTATTTATAGTCACACACAGTCTTGTGTTATAATTGGTGTCTAATTGTGATTCTATACAGTACAGAAAAAGTCAAATTGTGTCTGTTTGCTTTAGAAAGAAACAAAAGTAACTAAAGTATTGCAATTACTGTTCAGACTGGTTTAAATTAAATAAATAACACCTTTTTCAAAAGATATG